TTTTTTTTTGTTATATTCCTATTCCTTCAAACAGTTTCGTTGTTGAACCAGAGGCTATCGGTCCCTTTTTCCATTGCTTGACACAAACCCCTCTCTTTTATAGTATTAGAGATCTGGGCGCCTGCTTTGTTTAGTTCTTAAATGCTGACCATTTCACAGGCTCAAGAAATTTTCACAACACACACGACGCCGACCCAACATCGACATGACATCGACATGACATCGACATGACATCGACATGACATCGACATGACATCGACATCACATCGACATCACATCGACATCACATCGACATCACATCGACATGACAATACTACATCAACTAAAACAACCAAACACATCACATCGACTATTCGTTAAAGGCAGGCAATGACACCGATCAACGATTCGGACTAGGTTTAATCGTCTGGAGTCGACGTTCAGTCGATCAGGTCGTAATGCAACTTTTTGTGAATCGCGTGAATGGYTTGAGTCTTGWACACCATGGTGTTGGGGCCGATGCAGTCGAAGCAGTGGTTCAAGACGTGGTCGTAGGCATGGCATCCTGAGAMACTCGAGTTGTCGCGCATGTAAAATCTCGCGATTTCACCTGAAGTCTTGATCTTGTTGCACCYGTCGCAATCCATGGGAAACTTYTTGCCTTCTTCGTCAAACCAACTCCCTTCCATGTGATGGGTGAACCGAATTGTGAAATACTCGACAGAAATCGCCTTGCCAAATAGATGTTGGTAGTTTCGATACAACTCAAGATTTTGTGCCACTGGAGCATGGGTTTTAGGAGATTGCTTTAAAATACGGTTTAGCTCGTCCATATTACAATCTCCGGATTTGATTAATCAGCGTTTTGTAACAAATTCTCAATATTACTTTCAAGTCACAGCGAAGAGTGACTAACAGCCCAGATTCATGCAATAAATAAACGCTTAGACGAAACAATAGAGAACAAAAGGATTATTGTTCGGAGATTAAGTGAAAGGCTCACAAAAATGAATATATTATATTTTACCTCACCCTATTCAACTGAATACGTGACGTCACTGAATGTATTAATAAAATTATTTTACTCAAATCAAGCGGTCCTCAAATCAAGCGTTCCTCAATTCTCCTCAAACCCTCACCGGGTGTTGCTGGTGCTGACATTACTACTCTTGGTAGACGGTGAGCTTGAGTTGGTGCCTCTGGCTGCCGCTGCACAGTCCGTCCCAAGATTGTTTAACATCACTCCACATGACTACAATATTTGAATATAAGTGACAAAAAGAGAAGTCAGTATGAGGTATTTTCAGTCCGCAAAGAAAACTGATATAATATGATTTTAATTGTCATACAACAATAATGAGAATGAAGTAATAGCTTGGTAAACATATATATATGCCTTGAATTAGAAACACTCTTTTGATGTTATTCATTTTCATGGTAAACTTTCAAAACTTTCATTTGCTTCAAAGTGAAAACTTACAGACTAAAGAAAACCGGGGACAGTATACATGGACGTTGAATGTGAAAGTCAGTCCATTTTGCAAATGTTTTGAAAGTTTGCTAAGTTATTTGTCATATTTTAGCTGCATGATTTTATAAAGTTATACAGACGTGTAGCAAGCCTCAATTAGCAAGCCGAGTGGGCTGGAAAAAATATAAGAAATTGAAAAATTATCCACACCTCGATCTAACAGTATCATGTATCTTTGAGGACTTCGTAATGCTAAGAACTAAATAAAATCCGTTAGTAGATAAAGTTCTTTAACGTCCTATTTTTGGTCCTGAGACATTTGAGAATTCGTCGTGGATTCTGCTTTGGTTCGCGAGCACGTTTATATCGTCTTGAAACTTGGGACCGGTTCATACGTCGAGACAGCGTCGCGCCGAACCAAATACGTAGTCAATTTGTGTCGACCCAAATACATTTGGTACGGCGTTGATTCATACGTCGAACTAAATGCAGTCAAAGCATAAGAAAGGTCCGATAAAACGCAATTTACACCATTATTATTGTCGAAAACAAATTCCTCCTTCCTTATTTGGTACCTTTTAATAACGTTGTGTAGCTTCCAAGTCTCTTGTGTATTGTATGACTTGTTTGGATATTTATGTAAATATAACTTTGACATAAGATTTCAGCATTCGCTCTTGATTGTCGATAGAAGATTCACTCAAAAGTATTTCCTCTTGATTCCAGATAGAAAGTTCACTCAATAGCAATCGCTCTTGTTTCTGATCGATAAAACTGAATTCACTCAAAAGTATCCGCTCTTGATCCTCGATATTTTTTATCCCTCAAATAGCAAAAATGTTTAGTAGTGTCATCTCCGCAAACGGCCGCCATCATACCATGTGGTTCTTTTATCAGTGCACTGAGCAAAGTTGTCCCAATCGATGTAAGGTCGTGAGAAAATCGACGAGCGCTCGTTGAAAATTTAACGTGGAAAAAAGTGCTTGCGTCGTAGTTATGCCAAAATTGGCGGAAATATTTCTGTGCTTTGACTTCGCTCTCCTGTGGATTTTTTGCGTGTGATTAAATTTGCTAATAGAGTCAACTGCACTTGTACCGTGATGATTAAAAAGCAATACACAAAAGACTGCACAACTCTATTTCATATAAACGCAATCCGTATCTATTTGGTTTTGAAGTAATATTTAAAGTCCGACAATGAGAACTGGACGGGATTTCAAGTCCGCGCAATTAGTTCCAGTCCGAATTTGAGGACTTTGAACGACTTCTCATACTAGTTGTTAATTATTCGTAAGAGGAAATAAGCGAAGGAAATACATATAACAGAAATATATTGATTTATTGCATCTCTACCAAGGTTTTCAGTTTTCATAATTTTGAATACATCAAGCCCCGTTTGTTGTTCTTCAATTCCCGAACGGCTTTCTGAAACAAAAGCAGGTACAGTAGTAGTAGTTGGAAGCATGGAGAAGTAACTGGAAGCAAGATAGAAGTAGCTGGAAATTATGTCGAAGTAACTTGAAAAAAGGTAGAAGTAACTGGAAATAAGGTAGAACACAAGATAGGAGTACTTCCTCTGGTTTCAAGTTACTGCACGTGGTACAAATTACAATCAGGGATTTGCTGGATACCTCATGAATAATTAATGAGTATGAGAAATATTATGTCATTAACTTTCTTTCGTTTCATATATACACACATAGGGCAATACCTTTTATATCCTTTCAATAAACACGATTTGCCATGAAGCCTACATTTAACACAATTTCTAGCCCGTCCCGACATTTTTCCTCTGCGTCAAACAAAGAACTATATACGAACTCTTAATTTCTTTCCTTGTGGTTTGGATATCTTTTACAAATTCCTCCTTCCTTATTTGGTACCTTTTAATAACGTTGTGCAGCTTCCAAGTCTCTTGTGTATTACCTTTTGTTTCCATGAATTGTTCTGGCTCAGTGATATCGAGACTGGCCGTCGTCTGGGC